CTATACACGGAAAGCAACTAAACTTCCAGGCTTAAATGGGGAATTAGACCGTGTACCTTTTTTTGTAATAAGAATTCAGAACTGGAAATATTATATTGATGATCTTGTTTTGAATTTTTTTTTTTTTTAGAAATTTATACTATATGCATACATAATCCCACGGGTCTTAGAACTTTGTTTTTCTACCTCTACGAGTGCATCTATTATGTTGCCTTGTTTAACTAAATGTGCAAATTTCCTGGTTTTAACCAAGCCAAAAAGCCACGACTGTTTCTGTCAGTGATACGTTTTAATTTAAAATGTTTGTGATAGCCTATTTTTAACATAAGAAAAGTAGGCTATATGCTGTGTTTAAATGTGTTGCCACATGCTTGAACAACTTAATATACACATCTAGATCAAATGCATTGAATAATACGTTGTTCATATTTATTGAGTTTAAACATCAATATGTTTAGGAAAGATTGTATTACTGAACTGTGATAAAAGAGGATCACAATGTTGAAAAAGCATTTTCAGCAACAACGTTTGGATTTGAAATCAAAATAATGGATAAATGTTGTTTGTGGTAAACAGCCGCAGATCAGGAGCGGACTGCAAATGCGTCCTGTGTGAAAGCAAATGAGTCTGTGCTGCTTCTGCACTGCATATGTAATCATTCTGCTTACGCACTGCAGACGGGGTATGTGTGAACCTGGTGTGACTCTAAAGAGAGAAACGGTGTTATCGAATGTGGTAACGATTTTTTTTCCCCTGAAACAATGTTTAGTGTTGTACTTGATTGTAGGTGGCGGCAGTTCATTCTGTCATCACTGGAGCCACATTCTCGTGCTCTGAGGGAATTACCTGCTTGGCATGAGATGACATTTTAGAAGGCTAATAACATCATCAGGTATGTAAACCAGAGTTTTCTGAAGAAACAATAGTTTAACTGATCTGGAAATGTGAGTTTGCAGTCTGTGATAGAATAAAATAATCATGTAGGAGTGCCGCTATGGTTTTCTGGGCCCCCTTGTCGGACCCTTGGAATCGTCCCAACATTCACCCCATAACGGCGCCCCTGTAACCATGTACCGCGAAATAGCACAAAACGACTTTGTATTGGGTTGTCCTCTTGCGCTGGATCCAAAACAATAAACATACAACACGTTCAACGAAAAATTACTCTTATGATCTACTTCTTTTTAATTAAAAACACAGCCTAAGTGTGGTCCGATTCAGGAACAAATAACTCTTATGAGTCATGTAAATGAATTGTTCAAAAAGACGAGAGTGACTGTTTGAATCAGTCAGACGAATCCTTCACTGAACTACAAGTTTACATAATTTTCAGTGATGTTTGTATAGAATTGAAGTAAATGTTGTATTATGTGGAAATGTCTAAATGTTGTAATAAGTATTGTTTAGTGAGGATTCGGATAAGGTTTTTGGTCTTATTGCACTATTAACACACACATATATATATATATATGAAAACGTTACTGGCCAGAATCTGAATATAAGAATATATCAGAGAGACTCACACTGGGTTGCTGAAAAGATGTGAAGAATTGTTTCCAATCCGAATCTCTGCCTCATTTATCCTGCTTTCACAGCAGTCGGGTCTGTTAGTGATGGTCGCTCTGTTCACGCTGTACGTCTTCATCAGATCCAGCTTCCACCACGGGTCAGTTTGTGTCGTAGTATGAGTACAGGTGGAGTTTTTCCCATCCAGAGCCTTTTGGGCATACCAGTTGTAAGCCAATGTTGACTGATTGGCTCTTCCCAATGTTGCTACATTTACTGGAATATGTTTAAAGGAAAAACCTCTATTTCAAATAATAACAATTATTTATTTCTATTCTGACTGGAATTTTACGTGTAATATAAACTAAATTATGTGCTTCTGCTTTGAAATATTGAGTACTGTAAAAAGTGTTCAAAAGTTGGGGTCACTTTTTTTTTCTGAAGAAAATTATTATTTTTTTCAGGGATGATGCATTAAATTGATTTGAAATTAAATTGATGAAATGTATTATGTAACAAGATTTCTGTTGCAAATAAATGCTGTTCTTTTGAGCTTTCTAGTCGAAGAATCAACATTGCTAATAATCAGAAATGTTTCTTGAGCAGCAAATCAGCATATTAGAATGATTTCTGAAGATCATGTGACACTGAAAACTGGAGTAATGATGCTGAAAATACAGCTGCGCATCACAGGAATACAATACATTTTACAATATTATGACATAAAACAGTCATTTTAAATTGTAATAATATTTGTCTTTTGTAATTTCATTGACTGTTTCTCATTGCTGCTCTATCACAGATTTCAAAAGTTTAGAAAATAAATGCACAGTCGATGATCTTGAGTCACTGAGGTGTTGTTTGGTGGGTGGATCTTCAATATTGCGTAATCACTTCCGGATGTTTAACAAGCAACATCTGTAGGACTGAATTTGCATGATTTTTTACGCACTATGCCTTAATTTCATATCATGTTGTACAATTGCGAACCTTTTAGTGATTTCTCTGTTGACTTGGAGAGTTTCAGTTGAAATAATATAAGTGTTTCAGAATGTTTCAAACTGGCATCAATCATACTTAGTAAAATGAATAATGGTAACACTTTAGTCTAGGAACCAATTCTCACTATTAACGACTTGCTTATGAGCAAGATTATTATTAATATCGGCTGTTTGTTAGTACTTATAAAGCACATACTTTGCATGATCATGTTCTACAACCCTAATCCTAACCAATACCTAAACTTAACAACTACCTTACTAATTATTAATAAGCAGCAAATTAGGAGTTTATTGAGGCAAAAGTCATAGTTAATGGTTTGTTAATGGTGAGAATTGGACCTTAAAATAAAGTGTGACTGAAATAATAAATCGTAGTCCTGCTGGGCTATTTAAGTCCATGAGTTTTCATCATGTGTCTGAAAATGTTTCACAGCAGCACAAACTCACTAACAAAAGATGAAATAGTGTTTAATTCACAAAATCTCACCTTCTTTTCCTGCCTTCGTTTGAACCGAGAAAAAGCCTTGAAATGAGAAACACAGAATGATGCTTAGTATTTAGAAATGTAAATGGATTTTTCTTATGAGTATAAAACTACATTTTGTTAGTTTTACACTTTAAAAAATGCCAGTTGTGTTTCTCTGTCTGAAAGATGAAAACAGACTGTAGGTCACTAAGATATTAAACAGATTGTGTTTTACTTACCCAGTAAAAACGACAGACTCTTGTAGAAATCCCTCAAGTTCATTTCAGGTGGTTCGTGATTCTTTCTGCTTTAATTTGAGTAAGTTTGAATTAATGTTGTTCCTGAGAGAAACACATTAGTTTAACTTTACATCAGAGTCACACCATACTGTTTCCCCTCCCACTTTTCTCTCTGACTCCAGCTGAAAAAAGGTGAAGTGACATGTGGCCAAGTATGGTGACCCATACTAGGAATTAGTTATAGCAATGTAGTAAATATTTGCCCCTCTTTGCCATTTGCCTCTCCATCTACTGCTGTTCACTTCTTAGAATGTTTTTCTTATTCACTGAGTTTTCTTCGAGTCGTTTGCCTAGAAAGCCTGTTCCAAAAAATCATGAACGTAAATGTAAATGTTCTCAAATTGCTTACTCAGAAGACCACGAGCATGTGAGGAAGCACACTATGATTGCATCTGTACCGGCATCTTGAGCTTTCAAAGCAACAGCTCATCATGTGTTTTACATTTTTCATGTTTAAGCTCCACCTACATTAATCTGCCACAATTCTTACTTGCTTATTTCCACAAATGTCTGCTCAGTGTTTTTCTTGCCCCTGATGCACTTGTTTGTGCAGTTCATTTGACTAGGCGTACATTCTTTTGCCTATGTAAATAATGTGGATATAATTTTTTTGTGGAAAGAAGCTAAGAAAATGACACTTGATAGAGATGAATGAAATGTGACATGCTGATGATCAAAAAGGACCAGTGAGTGTTTGAAATCAGACCAAAAACTTTTTTTGGATGATAAACTTTTAAGTTGATCCACTGAAGCGTTGGAATCATTAACCCACAAAGGTTTTTACAGTGCAAGTACTTAAGTACTTTGTGTATTTTTAATACTATTAGTGTTCAGAAGATAACATATTCAGATGTTTGACCAAAAATCAAAACAAGAATAATATAGGATTTTTAAAATTGAATATTTAAGCCTTAAGTATAGCTCTACCGATATGCAAATCTGAATGATTGTCCTATTCTCTTCAGTAGAGCATCTGTATTTTAAGTTGTTCTTTTTATAACGTTTACAAAACACTCATCAAAATATCAGAACACTGAAAAAAAAATTTTAAAGTTGAAAAAAAATGATTGGAGTAAAAAACAAAATACTATTACAGTAATTCTACTTCAAAATTTCATGTTTAATTCAATGTTACTTTATAATTAAATGTAAAATTTACTACCAATTTCTTAGTAAGAATTGTTTCTACACCATTTGTTTCTCAGTGAAGGATGGTAGAAAATCTGCATCATTTCGTTAATGCGAAGACAAAAAAACTGTTTTAAAATATTGTTAATCTACTGCATCCCCTTTAAAGTCATTTGAATAGTAAGCACTTTATCTGTCCACAATTTGGCGACCCAACACAGTACTAAAATGATTAATCATTTAAAAATAAACATGCTTGATCGATTTGTGGTTTTGTTCATAGTTTTTGAGCATGAGAGAATGTCACAACCTGTCCATGTTGCGTCTAGTTCGACTTCTACCAAGTGTCATAAATGTCTTGTAAAAAACCGTAGTGCTTGATTGCATGTGCAGCCTTTGACCAACAATATGGGAAGTGTTTCACTAATTTACTATCCTAACTATGCATGCTGTTTGCATTTAGCTTTGTTCTTTGCCACTTTAACCTTTAGTCCAAACACTGATCTACCAGTTTCATTTTTTACTTGAACATTTTATGCATATTTAAAAAAAAAAAAAAAAGAAAAAAGAACATGTGACTTTATTTAAAACTTTATTTAAAACAATCAATAGTTTGAGGTATAAGTAAGAATAAATTAAGACATTTAAAAACAATTATCTTAGATATTTTCAGCCGCTTGATGGTGTCACACTTGCACAATTAAATGAATAGACTGATTATAATTGTATCAGCCCTCTCTGTGCAGGAGCTTGATTTTAAATAGCAGTACATTAGCAGAATACAAACACTAACGCTCGCAAAAACATTCATAAACACAATCTCTCTCACACAAACACAGAGATTAAATGAATGATGTATTGCCCTCTTCCCCATATTTTCAGCTCCTTTCTTCATTGTTCCCAGAGTCGCAATATTGCACAGTTATAAATATGCTGAATTACATATACTTTGGTGTTGGGTTCATCAAGCGTCCAGTGCTCATCGACCAGTTTCAGAAAGCAAATGTGTGGGCAGCATCCTTACAACAGGAGCACTGCAAGGATCCCTGAGAGAATTACCAGAGCAGCTGGAAAGAAAAGAAGAATCATAAACTATCATAAACTTTTTGCTCAGCTAACTGACTCTTGGAAAGCATGACACAAAAATTATACTACTTCTATAGGCTACAGAGGTCAGAAACTTTCCTGTATTGTACACCTGTTCCGTCTGTTGTGCAAATACATATCATGCACCAATACATTTCAAATAAGAGCATTTAGCAACTAAAGAGTAGTCATTTGTGTCACTCTTTTTTTTAACACACTAGAGACATTGCCCTGATGTAACCGTATCGAGTTCTTACCCTGTGATGCAGCATGATGCAGTGCATTGCTCCCTGCTGTAGTAGCAGGTTTTGCTGTAGTAGTCGTTGTCGCAGTAGTAGAAACGGTAATAGTGGTAGTATTAGAGTCTGTGTTTGTAGTGGGTGTTATTATGGCAACGTCTGAGCTGTTAGTGTTGGTCAGATCAACCGATGAATTTGTAGACATTCGTGTGACTGGAGACCCCAGAGTGCCTGTGGAAATGAAAACATTTTAATTTTGCTACTAACTGAAATCTCTTTTAGGTCTTCGTTCATAGTGTCGCTCTCACCATTTGTAAAGTTGCCAGTGAAGAAATAGAGGAAAGTATTTGTGTTTGCCGCACGGGTGCTGCTGCTGAGACCTACAGCTACAAAAATGCATTGAATCCTAGTGCCGCTCACAGAGCCACGGAAGGATCTAGGGTTAAACTGCAAGAAAAAACAAGTACAAATTTATTGCTGCAAAGTAGGGGTCAGAGTGAGTGAAGTTTCCGTCCACTTCAAAGCTTTCTATAAATCCTTTAGCTCTACTCTGGGTTTCTCTTCTTTTTTCTTTTCGCTCACTGCTGTCGAACAAACATTTGCATTGTTACTGTTACTGTTTTTCATTGTTACTGTTCTACTGTATAGTTGTCTCACAACACTGTATTTTAAAGCCATCCCTGTTGCTGTTCATTACCACATAATTTGTAGTCAAGAATATTTTGTGCAAAGCTTGGCAATGAAGAAAATGCTCTGTAAGAGGGAGTCTTACAGTCTTGTCCGGAGTCAGAATGGCGTTGTTCAGTGTGGCACGAATGAACTTCGCCACGCCATTGTCATTGGCACAAGAGTAGACGGTGTCATCATCACCCTATGAGAAGGAAAGGTAAATAAGTCTGAGAATCCAAATCTGAGATTTATTTTTTTTTCCAAAATCACATTCTTAACAAAGGGAATTTACTTTTTTTGTAAACGTGGACATATATGAGAAATAAATTTTATCTTTTTCAGACCTCCTTCTTGTCTCGAGACAGGCCAACTGCGATGTAACCGTTTGAATCTCCACTGAGCTCAAAAGTGAGATTGTCTGAGTCTCCGTTCACCCCTCTTGTGGAGGTGAAAAAGCAGCTACTTGAGCTCGATGGATCACAGTTGGCTGGAGTGAAGAAACATGCCCTGTCCTTCTTACAGTTGTCCTTGGTGACTTTCTCCTGCAATGTTACGTGCACATTAGCCATGAAATGTAATGCTGGAATTCATATTTAAGAAATTTATAAAATCTTAAGTAAACTCATCAGTTTATAGCAATCTGCCATCCAACAAAACACAATAGCTTTTAACATCAATGGCTTTACTTCACCTGCACCACAAAAAAGCAACACAATCATATCCATGAACAAAAAACTGTCTCGCCAGTCTGTTTCCACTTACATTTGTTGTACCGTTATTAGCTGTAGATACTCCAGAGGCAGTAGATGCAGTGGTATTTGAGGATGCAGTGGCATTTGATGTTGCAGTGGAATTAGATGTGGTGGTGTTCGGGGCCGTTGTGGTGTTTAATGCTACAGAGGAATTAGATGTGGTGGTGTTCGGTGCTGTTGTGGTGGAATTTGTACTGGGTATTATTACTGAAACGTCTGTGCTGTTAGGGTTGCTTAAGTCCACTGACCCGTTTGTGGTCAGTCTACTGACTGGAGAATCCAGAGAACCTGGAAAAGGAGTAAATTGAGGAGTAAGATTTACTTCTGTTGCAAAACAAAATATATATCACTTGATCAGTGTTGCACTCACCATTTAAGACACTGCCTGTTAAAAAGAAGACATAAGTGTCTGGGGTTGCCGCACGAGTGATGCTGCCGAGACCTGCAGCATTGAAAATGCACTGAATCTTTCCTCTATTCACCGAACCACGGAAACTTCCAGGGATGAACTGCAGCGAGACAGAAATATTATTACTGAGAAAGTCTACTTTAGTGTATTACAGTATATTTTAATTGGCTTTTATGCATTATTGCATCTTTACACATATTTTAGAAGCAACCTTTGAGACCTGTGTGGATAGTACCATTTTCTGTTTACATATACTACTACATTGTTTACTGTGAAGAATATCCTTTGCTAAAATTGGCATAGTATTATTTATACAGAAGGCTCTCTGACAATGGGTCTTACTGTGTTATCCTGAGCCAGTCTTTGATTGTTCAGTGTGGAACGGATGAACTTCAGTGCACCATTGACGTTGGCGCAAGAATAGACAGTGGCTCCTTGACCCTGAGGATGTGAAAAGTTAAAATTAGTCAGGGAAACATACTTCAGGTTTAAAATGACAGTGCTTAAATATTAGATTGCATTAAAAGAAACATGATTGAAAAAACAACTGGATTTGATCTCTTACACTGCTGTCTCGAGAGAGGCCCGCTCCAATGTAACCATCTGACTCGCCACTGAGTTCAAAGGTAAAATTATCTGCACTTCCGCTTACTGCTTTTGCAGAGAGGAAATAGCAGGAATCTTGTGCACCTGGATTACAGGTAGGTGGAGCAGAGAAACATGCTCTATCCCTCCTGCAGTTATCCCTGCCAGAAATATCCTGCAGTGAACAAGAAGTCAAATTAAATAGAAACAAACACATAAATGCTTGGTATAGTAGATAACTTGTAAAAGTAATTTTTATCCTTTAAAAGCAACTTTCACTTCAACAGTCAGAATTCTTATTATTTGCATTTTTAAGCAAGAAAAAGGGCTTACTAGTGATATATTATTGATGTTGCTGTTGGTCAAGGTATTAGAGCCTGATGGTGTTGGGGTCAGGTTAGTAGTTATGTTGGGAGGGCGTGTTTGAATCTGGTTGGCGGTTATGTTCGGAGGGCGTGTTTGAGTCTGGTTGGCGGTTATGTTGGGAGGGTGTGTTTGAGTCTGGTTGATGGTTATGTTGGGAGGGTGTGTCTGGGTCATGTTGGTGGTCATGTTGAGGTGACCCATTTGGGTCACGTTGGTGGTTATGTTGGGAGGATGTGTCTGGGTCAAGTTCGTAGAAGCCGCAGTGGTGGTTGATGTTGCTGTGGTATTAGATGCAGTGGCATTTGTACTAGGTGTTATTACTGAAACGTCTGTGCTGTTAGGGTTGCTTAAGTCCACTGACCCATTTGTGGTCAGTCTACTGACTGGAGAATCCAGAGAACCTGGAAGAATGAGTAGAGGGAAGACAATGGTTTACTTCTGTTTCACAACAAAATATATGTCAGTTACTTGATCAAAGTGTTGCACTGACCATTTGATATGCTGCCTGTTACAAGGAAGACAAAAGTGCCTGTGGTTGCAGAACGGGTGGTGCTGCTGAGACCTGCAGCATTAAAAATGCATTGAATCTTTCTACCAATCACTGAGCCACGGAAGCTTCCAGGGATGAACTGCAGCACAACAGAAGTAATATTACTTAATATTACACTGCTAAGATGGCACATAAACAGCTTCTGAGAATGCATATACAGTGCTGTGGGAAAATCTTTGCGATTGCTGACACACAAATGATCTGAAACATACAAGCAAGCTTTGCTCAGAATGGCTGAAAATCAAGAAAATTTACTGTAAGTTTTGGCTAGTCAATGCAGTGCAGTACTTAAACACTATTGAAATGCTCTGGCATTAAAATGACTTAAAATGCACAGCTCATGCTTAAAAGCCTTCAAATATCACAGAACTAAAGCTTGAGTGGGCCACAATTCGTCTACAGCAGTAAATGACTACAGGCATTTGATTGTGTTATTGCTGGGTGTTACAGGTCACAAGCTAGAGCAGTGTTTCCCAACCTTTGGACATTTTTAACAAACTTGTGGCACCCTACAAAATTAATTTTGTCACAATATTTGAATTTCTAACTTCGATATGATAATTTGAAAAGTATAGATATTCGGTACAACAGGGAAGAACTGCAGAATATAATGTCATAAATATATTTTTTTTATATTATTACAAATTTTTGTCCATCAATGGTGGCAATCAGTAGGCTAATTTCTAATGAAGAGACCAATTTATATGACAGATTTTAATGTAGGCTTTTATACATGTGTAAACATTATTTAATTACCATTATAACTAGCTATCTCACAAATTTTTGCTCACTCAGTGTTTTTTTAATTTTAGGAACCATGGTTACATAAGTAACCTGAGACATTTTTTAGGTAGGTCTAACAGTAGGGTTAAGATATTACATTTTTTTTTTTTTTTCACCAATTATCCAAATAATGTTTAGTCCTAGAAAGCTATTATTATCAAAACTCGTGAGCATAACATAGCGGTTAGCAGATCAATGAATGAGAGGGGGCAGAGTTGCCCATATACCACATCATGTTACAACACAGTAAGGTTATTGCAAACAAAA